GGTTAGAAGTTGGGTTTTTTTGGTTTTATTTTTTTGTTTTTTCTTGCATACCAAAAAACCTCCAAAAATGATCATTATGTGTGGAACATCCTCCTGGGTTTGAGTGAAGCTGGATTTAGGGCCTCCTGTTTAGCAGCTTATGGGGAATCCAAGTGATGTTTGCTACTGTGGCTTACAATGGCTGCATGTAATCTCTATGTTTTGTCTTTTCTGCTTTCGGATTATATGTCCCTTTGGCCATTTTTTATTTGGAAATTTCCTTCCTCATCTCGTGTAGTAACTGAAGTAGGGAGACTAAGGTTATTGAAATTAGCATGGTAGCTCTTGATATTCCAAACTATATTTTATGGAGACAAATGAATAACTTTCCTCTGTTTTTCAGTGAGTGGTGGAATGAAGCTCAGAAGAATAAGAAATTGAGACCTAATCCACATGATACCAAAGTCAAGAAGAAACTGCGGGAGCTGCAGCTTTCTTCAGGTTTCCCAAATCCAGCAGTGGCAGAAGCGTACCTGAAGCCTGTGGTGGATGAAACGAGGGGTTCATTCACCTGGGGGAAGCCGGATGTAGAGCAAATCAGAGAATATCCTTTTACTGTATGGCAGGACTTGTTAGCTAAAAGTACTCAGGTTAAAGTTCATAAGGCTGCTTAGTGAGTTGGTAACGGAGTGTCAAATTCTTAAAATCCCATTGGTGTGAGGGGCCTCCCCGTGCCATCTGCATGTGCTCTCCTACAATGGTATCAGCTCTGGAATGGAAGGGAGTGCAGCCATGCATGTGTGGCATTCAAGGCTGCTTTGCCCTCCTGGAAGAGTGAGCTGCTTCACTTTGCATGCAGAGGGAGTCTTGTAGCTGGACCAACTAGTTTGTTGAGATGTTACACTTCTGTAACTGTGCTGTGCCTATTTCTAGACTTCAAGTGGGATTGCTTGCACACTCCTGGTATACGTTTCCCGTCTTTCACAAATAAGTTTCAAAACCTGGTCAGAAATGATGATTCAGTTGGGCTTTATCCCTAGTTATTCACTGCATTTCTTGCAATATTGTCTATTTCTTGCATCTGTTGCAGCTTGAGCTGCAGTGAATTGTTGAAAAGTAGATGGCAATGCATGCAGAGCTAACAGTGTTTTAAATAGTAAATTAAAATTCCAGTGCATGCAAGTATGAAAATAAGATTTACTTACAGGTATTTTGTCTTATGGCAGTACCATATAGCCCAATGAGTTCTGTCTTCACTGATACATGCTTTTGGAAACGTTGGTATTGGGGAAAAAAGTTCTGTAACCAATAAATATGTAACAGCGTGATTAAGATGCGTAGCGTAATACTGGAACCATCCACATAAGTCAGCTGTAATAGCTTAGAGTATTTTCTCTGGTTTTGTCTTAGAAAAAGCTTTGAAGTAGAGTCACTTTCCTCCAGACATTGTTTATTGGAGGAATTTTGGGTTTATGTGTTTACAAAATACTGGTAATAGCTATTTTGTAAAGTTCCTTAACTTTCTGCACATTCTGTCAGGATCACTTTGGCTGGACCAGGACAAAGATAGATGAAATCCTTTTGCCTGTGATAAAACAGCTGAACTTGCAGCAGGTAAAGTATAAAACTGGGTATAGTTTAGGGGTAACTCGAAAATTATGAGAGAAGCATTTTAAAATGAACAGCAAGGCTTTAATCTAAAATACGTTTCTCAGAAACTGGGATTTTGCCATTTTTTTAATCTTAATATATGTATATTTAAAAGTCATTAAACTTACTTCTCTAGACTTCGTTTCTGTATGATTTGGCTGTGCTCTGAGACCTTCTACATAATCTCAATTGTTGGTTTCAAATGTTGTTACCTATCAAGCACCTATCTAAAGTCCAGGTTGCTGCTTGTTCTGAAACTACGGGTACTTCAAGCATCTTCAGTACTTTTAAAAGACAGCATGCTGTCTCTAAAAATGATTTGTAAAAATGCCCCTGAGATTATGGTGAAGCGAGATTGACCATTTGGTACCATCCATATCCTTTGAGGAGTGCAGACTGAACCATTGAACAAGTGCCAATTAATAATATGACTCTAATTTCAAAATAAATGTTCTGTCAACATTAATAAAACTTAAAAATCAGTAGCAGTTCATGCTGGGATACTGTGAAAGTCAGTTGTAAATCTGATCACCTAAGGTCAGATTCTTTTCTCCTTTTGCCATGAGCCAGGTAGATAACGCAGTCTAAACCAAGGTTGTAGGTTCTCTCTGTCACTCAAAGGACTGAAAGGTACCAAAACTGGTAGTTAAATCCAGATGTATTTTCAGGTTGACTGGAACATCCTTTGGAAGCGTCTGTCTTTCTTAAGGAGAGTTTTAGGGAGAATAGAGAGGACTAGCTTAGTCTATACAGCAAGTGTAGCTGTGGTTGAATAAACCAGACCCATCGTGTGTGACAAGTTCGAGTTCTAGTCTTAAGTCTTTATACTGTAGCAGCATGTGTTACAATGAACTTGAGTCAAATGACCACATTTTGTTGCACTAGCATATGCAAATATGAAGTGCACTTACAACAGTAATTTGCTTAGTAAACATTCTGCTGTTCTAACAGCTTGAAGCTGAGGATGTGTTTGTAAGGACATACTTGAGAGCACTACAGAGATTCTCTGTATTAGGGTTGAAAATAGCAACATATGTTTAATCAGCAGCAGCACAGCGTTCATCAAATTTCACTGGAGTTTGCTTACCTGGTTTCTGTAAAGGTTCTTGTTGCATAATTTATTATAAAGTATAGGTATTGCTATAATAACGCATCTTATTGTTCACCTCATTTGCATGCATATTAATTTCATTAGTCCTTTGTCCTGCTTTAGTTTGGGATGCTTTATAGTATAGCTGAGGTGACAACTGAATTCCCATCGCAAAACCATCCAAAGGTGTTTGTCTGTTTTATTTCTGATAGACTCAGCTTCGAATTGATTCATTCTTCAGACTAGCACAGCATGAAAAACTAGCTATTAAAAGCCAGAGGCTGCGCAGGGCTGTGACTTGTCTGAAGAGAAAGGAAAAAGAAGAAGCCGATGAAATTCGGGAGGCCGCTGCTGTTATGGAGATGGAACTTCAACAGCATGAGGAAAGGAAAGGGGAAGGTACTGCAGGCTGCGCAGATCATCAAGCTGCAGCAACAGAAGTCCGAAGTGGAAAGAGAAGAAAACATTCGGATTCCAGAAAAGAACATTTATATGGAGGTGGTTTTATTGGGAATTTGCATCTTTCAGAAACTTCTAGTGACTCCTCGGCAGAGGAATTGGAAAGCAGAGGTTTAGGCAAGAGCAAAAAGAGGAAAAATGTCTCTGCAGTTGAGTCAGCAGGCCAGAAAGAGAAAAAGGGGTGCAGTAGCTCAAGTGATGAGGATGAAGAACTGGGAAAGGTCCTCATGGTGACTGCCAAACCTGTGTTTGAGGGCAGAAAAAAGAAATCACAGGGTAAGAGAGGAAGAAACATCTTAAAGAAAAAAGTCTGAAAAAGAGAGACTGTGTGCATGTGGGGTTTTTATGACTTCAGCTTTGTAAATATTCTAATGAATTTTTGATAAATAATAAATTATCTCTATTTGTCATGTGTTTGTCATGCGTTTTGTGTCCGGAACTGAAATAAGAGGGAGTTTAAATGCTGAAAAAAATAATTTTAGCACACTTACTCATAAAGACCTAGATGGAACTTGATATAAGTTTTCTCTTTCAAGATTTTAAAATTGAGCCAAAACGTGATGCTCATTCATTTGTGTTTTGAGGCGAGATAGCTGTTAAAAAAATCACACGCAGCCTGTTGCTTCCTTAACTTCAAACTTAAATGAAATTTTGAAAGCAATTTGGGATTATTCCTAGGTGCTGAGAGAAGGAAAATCAGCTCAGTTAGTTTTCTTTTCCTTATTCCCTTCACTGTGTCTGTCTCGAAAGTTTTGTGCTCAAAGTAATGCTGCTCATCGAACCATTCGTGAGACAACGTAAGCCCGCGTAAAGTCTCGTGGAAAATCAAACAGTACAGTAAGTCCTTGTATAATCTGAGGTGCTATGATTCTTTCTGCTCTGAATGTGAATGTCATGCTTCTAGAGTTGGAGTGCATGACCATGTCCAAAGACAGAATTTATCTCCAAAAGTCATGTTCAGCGGTACCCACTGGTTGCAGCACTCGTGTGGGATAAATTTGTGAGGGAAACCACGTGTTAGCTCAGGCTTTCCCCCCCTCCCCACCTCACCTGTCTCGCTGAATGATTGTAGAGGTTATTTATAGCTCCTGAGGATTAAGATGGAAAAGCATGGAATGCTGCCAGTCGTGCCTGGGTTCTCATGTTACATTTTGGTCCTCCTCGCTTCTTTTGTGTTCCCGTTTGATATTTGTACTTAATTTCTCATTGTTCCGTTGTTTGAAAGTCCAAGGCCATGCAGTTAAGTTTTGTATGAACCATTAGCCTCCCCTAAAAGGACAACAGGCTGAGGTGAACTTGGTAGGATTTGGCCCTTATAGTTGCAGAGAGTCTAACATTTCATGTACAGCGCTTACTGGGCAAAACCCATCCCTTTTGATACTACTTTTGTAAAAGATTATAACATTTTAAGCAAATTCTCAGTCTGGACAGACAGTTTACAGCAGTGGTTTGCAGATCACTCTTTAGTATTAATGAATTTTGCCTTAAAAGTGTAGATGGGGCCATGGTGATGTGTTTGATAGTTTCTAAAAGTAGAAGAGCTCCTCTTAATTTCTTCTGCCAAGTATGGTAAAGTGCAGAGACCTTCAGTTCCTCGTAGGGCTTGTTTAGTGTTCTGGTACAATGATTTACTATTTTTCAATGGCACCTAGAAACCCCAAAGTCTAACTTTGCTAAAAACTAGGTAAAGTAGAAGGCCGTTTCCTCTCCTGAATTGATTACAGTCTAAATAAGAGAAGTTTTAGCAATGGCTGTATCTGTTCCCATGGCAGTGCGACCCATTGAGTGAATGTACACCTTTTGTATACGAAAGAGGAGCGGTATGCGTGTAACTGTGCACGCTGGCAGCTGTCCCGTGGGGGAAAGCGGGCTAGGATTTTGGGGGTTGCATATCTTGTCACAGTTCTGCATTCCAAAGTGAGCACGCACCTATATACCCCCACTGCAAACGCGGCCCTGCCCCTTTGTAAATCACGCTTGGTGCTTGGAAGACCCCTTTGGCTCTGGAAAATGGTATTTAGCTCTGTTACCTTTCAGTAAAAGTCAGTGGTCACTAGCGCTGTGCTGCTACCTTATTTTTGCAAAAAAAATACTCCAAAGGAGTTCCCTTGAGCTCCTGGGTGCCTGCTGCTGTTGCGAAATCTGCTGCCTTACGTCAGGGACGCGTTGCGTGGCGCCCACGTTGCGTTCGTGCTGCAGCTGTCGGGATTTATTACGGCTCCCGGTGTGGGGACGTTGGCAACGCGTGACACCCGCTCCAGAGCACGCTTCTGCCTGGGGAGGGAAACCACCGGGGCGATAAGGACTTTCCTCTTAAGAGTACCATCCTTGGCAAGCCGCGAGAGATTCAGGTAACGTTGACCGAAACGCAGTGGATGCCGGTGGTATTTCGCTTGCCGGTGTCTTTTCCCCTAAATTACTGCCTATCATTTACTTTAAAGAGCATAACTCGGCAACCGAGCTGTTCTGCACTGCACTGTTCAGTTGCTTGTAGTACTCCTGGATTCGTATGTTAAAGTCAGACAAGTCGTTGTGTAGTTCACTGTACCTCAAAGGGTATTTTTAGAAGGGGAATAAAAAAAAAAGTAGAGGACCACAAAAGACAAAGGTTTTCCCTTTTAGGGTGATTTTGTAGTGCAATGTTGCTTGTCCATCAGAATGCAACGGGACTGGTTATTAACCTGTTATTTTTATCTTCTAACAGGAAGAAAATTTATCTTTTCTATACTTCTGAGGTAGATGACAGCCTGATGGATGCGTGTGACATTTACTGCTTAATGTCCCAGTAGTTTCTAATGCCCCTTGTTATTGTGAAGATGCATACAAAGGCTTCAAATCCCCATCGAATCTCTTTTCTGTTTCCCATGTAATGATGTTACCGTTGCTAAGTTCATAGGCAGACATAAATATAGCAGCAGTATTTTTGTTCTGTGTGTTACGGTAATGCGTAGAAGCCCCCTAAGTTATTTTTCACCTTCAGATAGGTTACTGGCTGCTGGCACTGTGGTAGTAAAGTTAAACATTAAACCTGTGTGTCTTCAGTAGGGTGAAGTCAAGAGAGTATGGTGCATCTTCTCCAACAAGGCAGGGTTGCTCTATACTGTCCTCCCTCACCTGAAGTTTTGAGACAAAAACCTGCCTAAGGCTTTGCACTGTGAGGAAGTTTTCCTGAAATTCAGCGTATGTTTTTACTTTGATTGCTTTTTTTTTTTTTTGACTAGATACTCCTTCACCCGTTGCCTTATTTAATTGCACCCCTGTTGGGTGTTTAGACATCTGTAGCTTATTAACTGTATGCTGCCTGTAACCATTCCTGCAAAAATCAGTCAGATTTCCGTGTGACAGTGCAAGAGCTTTAAAAATTGCCAGAGAACTGATTTTTTTTTTTTTTTCCTGTTTGTGTTTCTCTGCGTAAAACATCACGAATTAGAGGCTATTGGCTGCCTGTCTGCTTTTCTGCAGACAGCTGATAATTGTATTGTCCTCTGTCCTGCTTTTCCTATGACTTCTTTTCTCCCGGGTCTGCACGTTCTGTGTCCGTTCGTACAGGCACATACGCATTCTGTCCTTCATGCTGTCTATAGAACCTGCTTCCTACCTCTTCTCACATGCAACTTTTACTAATGGGTTGTTTCCTTCCCTTCCAAGCCAATTAACTCAAACAAGATTAGATCCTTTTGGTATAATTTTTCTTCTCTTTCAGACATTTTTTGCTACCTTTCCTTTCAATCAATTATAAGCCTACCAACCCTGATTTGAATTGAATCTAATTTTAAAACTTCATAAAGTAGTTTTAAACATTTATCAAAGTTGTTGGGTTTGTTTTTTTTTTTTTTAATCTGCTTGCTTTTTCACTTCTGAGAGTAGAGCAGTTGAACTAGTTTGCTGCTTCTGTTTCTTTGAATATTGAATACCTGGTGCTTTGAATATTGATATTTATGTGGCTACATGTCTTTATGATCTATAGAAGTAAGGTATAGCATAATACATGTAAAACAATTTTAATTTTTTTGTGAAGTGTTATATGGGGAAAAAGAAATAAAGTCATTTTATTCAGGCAGGCTTGTGTTTCTCTGTCCCAGGCTTTGTGGCATAGTATGGATTTGACATCATCACAACATAATCATCTAAAAAATGAAGTGATAAGAGAATTGGAAAGACAAGAAGGTAAAATGTTTCTTAACTCACTGTATTTTCTTGTTGCACTTAGGAACATTGCTCAGGATGAGGAACGCGGTGTCTTGCTGACAATGAGCTGCCTGCTCATTCATTTTTTTCCCGAAGAATTGCACTTATGGCACTTGTACAGAAAATACAACAGATAGCGCTGTTGTAGTGTTCTAGCTATGCAGCAAGGATCTGCTATGCCGGCGTGCTCTGGTCCCGGCCGTTTCCCCCCAGCGCCTGGCACGCGGCCTGCGGCTATTTGCCTGCAACGGCTTCCAGGGAAGGAAGCCGTGACTGCGATCAAGCTGTTCAGGAGAGGTTTGTTTGCAGGGTGTCAATTAGGGAGAATTGGTTATTACAAGCTTGGTTTCTGTCTAGACAGCCTCAAACCTCGTCTTCAAATACCTTCAGGGGCTTTTGGCAGCTTTTCCTCTTAAGCAAGTTCATGGCTGCACATCTTTCAAGATCCTAAAGCATCCTGAGTGATCTCCTTTCCAGGGATCACCAGGAGTAAACAAGCTTTGAGGGCAAATGCGTGTGTTGTTTTGGGATGGGGTCTAGTTGTGTACTGCAGCTGTATATGAAAGGAGGAGGGTTTTTTTTTTTAATTTATTTTATTTTTCATAATATTTTTGTTTAAAATCTCAGCTGAGTTGCGGTCCATGTAGAGCGAGGCTTTTGGGCTTCTGCTTTTCAAGAGAGCTCAGTGTCCGGCTTTGCTTTGCTACCAGTTCAGCAAGGCAAGGTGGAGCTTTGGGGATGACTTAATGCTTAAATGACAATGCTTAAAACTAATTATTTGCTTACTGAAACTAATGTTTGTTATTTTGTTTTCAAATATCTTTTTCAAAGCACCCCAAATTGATGACCTTCTCTGGAAAGCTGACATTGCACAGAAGATAGCTGATAGGGATTGGTATAGATTGCTCTTCCACAAAGCACTGTTTAAGTTCCTTAATCTGGAGATTTTCTTTAATGCAATTCCCCTTCCTATTGTGTAAATCTGACTTGAACAAAGAGCTCAGGTTGATCCTCTGCAATGAAACATGATTGTTGGGGGAAGAAATATCTAGAAGAATAAATATTAAAGATAGAACTACTAAAGACTGAAATATTGATGACTGTCATTATGTATTCTGTAGTACACAAGAGCTGAGGTAAAATTGCACAGGCATTTCTATGCTTCTGCAAGCTTGGCGCCCTAATATTGATACTCTCTTTATGTGGGATTCAGGGTGGGGAAGAGTGGGTCTGCATGTAATTTCTTTAGCTTTTGAATTACTAAAATAAATTGAGTTCTGGGACATTAGGTCAATGTATGCAAAATTCGTCGGTAGGGCAGAATCTTTAGATCAAATGCAGACATACATTCCACTTAGCTAACAGAGTAACTGTGTTGATAGCAATAGCAGCTGGTTCTCTCCCATGTCTAGAAACACTAGTTTAAGAGGATGAGGAGACATGAATGGAAAATGGGATATCTTTACAGTTTCATCTGACATCAGGCTTTGGTATATTAAATTCCATGCCAGGTTCTGGAAGCGAAGGGTGCTGAACCTGCTGCACGGAGACTTACCTGCTTGGTCACCCTGAGCCTGTGCCTTCCTTGTTCTCACCCTTTCCCTCTACCTTTTTCCCCATTCCCATTTCATTAACTTACCAGACTCAACCTCTCTTTCTCGGGATTCTTACTCCAGTTTGGTTTCTCTGCAAGTTCCAGTCTGAGCTCTTTATATTTGGTCACAAGTTCTCCAGGTTAAAACTCATTATTATGGTTCATTATTCCCACTACTACTGGTTCTCAGCTTACAAGTAAGGTCCTCACGCAGTCTAATCTTTCCTCTGGTGTCTTCATCCAATCAGTCCTCCATTGCACCTGCATCAGTAGATGTCTCTCTTCTTTCCTCTCATGATTTCTCTTGATCATTAGCTTTAACTCTCCTTGGCTCAACTTGTCAGAGGTCAGATTCTGCCACTCCCGTCTTCATTTCTTGGGATACTAAATTACTTTACCACAGTTGCATTACATAAATTCACCCCAGAATAATTTTATCTCTGAGACAAAAGGAGGAGAGCAAGTTTGCAAGGCGTACTTGTCCTTGACACTCCATCGTCTCACTTCATCTGGCCAGGGCTCAGTTTTTAATCCATAAATATCTGAGAACATGCTGACCTGGTAACCTTCACATATCTCCCGGCATTTTAGAAGGAACACACTCCTTCCACTCACCCTGTTTGACAGATGTCCTAATTGATGGCAATTCCTGCCATCATTTCAAGTCTCTGGATGGAGTCCAGAAAGGTGCTTTAAATGGGACCTAGTTGGAATGGAGGCAAGTGAGAAGCAGCCTAACGTTGTGTTGTGGTTTAACCTGGCAGGCAGCTAAACACCACACAGCCGTTCACTCGCCTCCCTCCCCCCACAGTGAGATGGGGGAGAGAATTGGGAAAATTTGTGGGTTGAGATAAAGTTTAATAGGATAGAAAAGTAAGGGAAAACAATAATAATAATAATAACAATAAAAGAATGTACAAAACAAGTGAGGTACAATGCAATTGCTCACCACCCGCTGACTGATGGCCAGCCAGTTCCCAAGCAGCAGTCACTGGCCCCCTGGCCAACTCCCCCTATTTTATATACTGAGCATGGTGTCATATGGTCTGGAATAGCCCTTTGGTCAGTTGGGGTTGGCTGTGCCCTCTCTCAACTTCTTGCTGGTAGGGTATGAGGAGCTGAAAAGCCCTTGACTGGTGTAAGCACTACTTAGCAATAACTAAACCAGCAGTGTGTTATCAACATCATTCTCATACTAAACCCCAAACACAGCACTGTGCCAGCTACTAGGAAGAAAATTAACTCTGTCCTAGCCGAAACCAGGACACCCTGTAACTTGGAAGTTAAGATATTCAGCTGGGAAGAGGGAGTGTCTCGTTCTTACTTCCTGAGTTACTTCTAAAGATACTTCTCTTTCTCACTCCCTTCCCCACTGACACTTTTCCATTGACTTCAAAGACTTTGCTGTAAAATGTGAAAAATGTTCTGGGACCAAAGCGTGGAGCCCAAGTCTGCCTCTTCATAACTGAGTGCCCAGTTCATAGCTGGGCTTTCCCTTGCTTGTTGTCCTTCTAGCATGGTTCTTGAAATCCTGGTTTCCTGAAGACCCACTCTGATGGCAATGGAGGGGAGGGGAAACACCTGTTTCTGTAGGGTGGTTGGAACACACCCCTTGGGTGAGCCAGTTCTGAATTTGCATCCTTCTGAGGAAGGTCCAGCACCCAGTTCCTTCATTGTCTGAGTACTTAAATTGCCAAACCATTCTTTCTATAGTGGACTTTGCAATAACAGTGCTGGTTAAAAAATGAGCCTATTTATACTACACATATATGATGCTTTTGCTGTATCTTTCCACTACCTGCCTTCCCTTCTTTCATCTTCCTCTTTTTTGTCTCCTAACTTTGAGTTCTGCTTCTATCTTTAAAAACCAACCAACCCCTTCCATTAATTCTCATCTCAAAAGCATAAGCCCCCCAAACTCATGGAAGTCAGACCATTAGTTACCTACATTTTTTTCTTCACTGCAGGATTGACTTGAAATATCAGAACTCAAATTCTAGTCCTCTTAAGGCAACAAGCTGTCTCCAGACAAAAAAAGACTAAAAGAGGTAGTGTGGAACAAGACTTGAGTGTAACCCAGTTAAGGAGTGACGAGAGCTTAACTGCACCTTCACAGCAAACCAGAATAGTCTAAAAATACCTCTTCTCTGAATTTACCTCTTGGCTACTTATAGTAACTTATCTCTGAGCTCTTTTGTTTGAAAGTGGCAGCATTCAAATACTATAGTAAACATCAGGTGTACTAATTTGAATTAACACTTCTCTGTTCCTTTTCTCTCCCTGCAACAAGTAGACCTGCTTTTGCTGAAGACATTACTAAACTCAAATGGAAACTTCTTGTGTATGGGTAGAACAAAAGTTGGAGGCAGTGTTCAAATAATCAAAGCATGAGTTAACTCTGTGGAGAAGTCTGTAACATATTCTTCCCTCTCAGTCATGTGTCTGTCTTTTCTGTTTTCACATCTTTCCCCTTTACAGTGACTGCATTTCAGCAATAATCAAATATTTCTCAACTGCCACAAGAAAAAAGCAGTATGTTTGCATGGCTTGGTTGTGTTAGGTTACTTTCAGGTCCTTTCCTCAAAGAAGTACTTTAGAAATCCAGAGTTATTGGTAGGGGAAAATTGGCAGGCATTTTGTTGAGTCCCTTCTGTTCCGCTGGCTGTGGTACCTGGCGTGTTCTGGCATGTCGTTACAAGGAAATAAGAGCTTTCAATGGCACAATGCCCCCTTGACTCGGCAAGGTAAGAGATGTGAAAGATTAGACTAGACAATGGCTTACAGTGTCTAAATTACTCATCCAGAGCCTTCCTATCCATCAGGAAACTGGCTGTCGGCCTTTTATAAGACCATCAAATTTAAGAACACAGTCTGCTTTTGTAGTCAAAGAGAAATAATTTAGTTATCTTTAGAGATTAAATAGCTGCTGAGCCTAGACCAGAAGATGTTTTCAAGGGCAGACAAACATGATGAAGTAACAAGGAAAATACTTGGCACATTTAAATTCATTATATTTTCATGAGATAATCTGACGATGGTACTTCTATTTTCAGCCTTCTAATGGTTTTGGATGAGCTGTGGCTTGGATGGGGCTGGGATATCAGTGGTGTGAGTTTCAAGTTGAAACGGAATTCAAGCCTGGGTAAATACACAAACTGGATGGTGTGAGCATACCCCTCTCCTGTTCTTGTGTCCCCATGCACTGAGCTAAGTGCATCTTGTCTCTTGGCTGACGAGAGGCTGCCCGTGGGTGGCAGTTTTGTATTTCTACATTTCAAAGTGTAAAGTTTCAAGCATTATTATTACCCTGTCATAGTATCTCAGATTAATCAATATAATATACCTTGTCATTGCCATCCCTTCAGCAGATTGGGTTTGTAATGAA